AACACCACATAAATGCAGGGTGGTGGGCTGGTCGTTCGTCGTAATATTTTCGTGCTGTTTGACACTACTATGGTGGTCGTTTTGTGTATGAAGAGATTGGGGTGTGTTGGGCTGTTTTGTAGTATTTTGTGGTGTATATAAGGTTGGAAAATAATGTATATATGTTGTTATTGTTGTGTCTTTTGTTTTTTGTGTTATCTTGAATTTGGAGGAAGTAAAGATCATTGGGGAGATGCTACCCGTTTTAATATAAAATAAGCCTATCGTTCGTTATGCGATAATTGTACCTTTCGTAACTTAATAATAGTATTATTATCGTTGTTGTAGATTACGGTGCGAAAAGACGAGTTCAACGTGGTTATTGGAAAGATTGTGATAAAGTATGTTAAGGCTAAACCTTTCCTTCATTTTGGCATGACCTCATAACTACATGTGTTTGATAACGAGAAATAAAGAGAAGTTCGTATTCCTGAATTTATTCACATTATCCTAGTCTTAGAAGTTACAGTATTCTCCCATTTTGGGACTTTCTATTCAGTTAAGTATTATCTGCTTTCAGTCAAGAGGGTATAGGGTCTATATATATATACAGTATTACAGTATTTTCACCACCACCGAGCTATAATCGGTGGGCAAGCCCCTATTGGGCAACCTCTAATTAGATGGTACGTTATATCGAGCATACTGTGGCTGAACGCCTATGAGCGAGCCCAGATTGGCCGAGATACCGAGCCTAGTATGGCTGAGCGCCTATGAGCGAGCTTACTACGGCCGAGCAGTTACACGTTCCGAGCCTTATAGGGCCGGACAACTATTTTACTTACTATATTGAAAGAGTTGAGTCAGTATCAGCAGGTAAGTATATTTCCAGATCATCTTTGACCCCCAGTTACTTTCAGTTATTATATTATCAGTTTAGTTTCAGCTTTCAGTTATTCTATTGCCTTACATACTCGGTATATTATTTCGTACTGACGCCCATTCTTGGGGACGCTGCATTTCATGCATGCAGGTTCAGATAGACAGCCTGGTAGACCTCCTCCGTAGGTGCTTTCCGTGATCAGCTTGATCGATAAGCTCCACATCCTTCGGAGTTGCCGGATCTAGGGTTTTGAGTACATATTGTGTATATGTGTATATATATTATGGGTAGGTTAGGGCCCTATTCCGACCACAGTACATCCATCAGTAGAGGCTTGTAGACATATCCTGTCAGTTAGTGCAGTATGTTGGGTTTGTAGGCCTTGTATATATATTTTTGTTGGTTTGTCAGTTGTACTAGTTATGAAGGCCTTGTCGACCCAGCTTTATATTGATATTCAGTCAGAGCTAGTTTCCGTTCAGTTTTATATTTTGTTTCACAAATCATCTTACAATGTGGCACTATGGAAAATGTATGACATTGTATGTTCAGAGTCCCTTAGTCGTAAGTTGGTACGCTAGGTTAAGTGAGGCATTAGGTGCCGGTCTCGCCCCCAAGTTCGGGGAGTGACAAAGATGTCATCATCCTCATCAACCAACGAGAAGAGTTGAGGAGAGGGAGCAACAGACAAGATAGAGGTGGAACCACAAGCCGCATCAACCATGACGGGGGCAGGCACAGTAGGCCCAACAGCCACGATGGGGGAAGAAACTAAAGGGGAAGCACTCCCCCTCCGAAAAGAGGGCACATGCGCCCAACTCCTTCAAGAAAACCCTCTGACTGGTAAAGGAAGAGACATAGAAGTTACAGAGCCAGCCTACATACAACAAAAAGGTGCAACGACCATGGCCAGGAAAGAGAAGTTACCTGCTAAAGGGAGAGCCGGTCTGAACTTCTTGAAGAAGCTTGGCCAGTCACGAATCCCTATGGCATGAGGGAAAATCTGTTCGACCCAGTCGGCAGTGTGCACGACTAGATGAGGAGGTTCGTTGTTGGCTGCAAGCAAGGAAAAATCATTTAACTAGCTCAAAATAAGCAAAGATGTGCGAAAGGCAAAAAGAGAAAAACTGGCATTTACGTGTGTAGTTCCAAGACTAAGGGAAGCCATCGACGTTAGCCACGACGTTCTCAGTCCTGACATAAAAGAAATCAAGCCAGAATTGATGACTGCCTTATCGTCCATCTTCACCACCAAAAACTGACATCCACAGTGGCGAAGGTTCAATATCATCCCCCTATAGAAGCCAAGGGCGAATAGGTGCACCAAAAACCACATCGTCACTTCAACCCCGGTGAGCTTGGAAAATTTGGTTAACATCTTGATGACTTTGTAGATGTAAGGGGCGAGTTGAGCGGGACAAACGCCGTAGTGGCGTAAAAACTCTTCCACCAGCGGGGAAAGAGGAAATGAGTAACCAATAAGGAATGGGTAAGCGTATAGAGCGCAGTACCCGGAGCTGTGAACATGTACTTCATCCTCTTCAGCGGGAAATAGTTCAATGTGGTTGGGGAGGCCGAACTTGGCTTTAAAGTCTGCCAAATGTTTGGATGCCCTCATTGATAGGAAATGCCAGGCATCGCGTCCGATTTTGGTGGAGATTAGACCTGGCTTCAGGGTTGCAGGGAAGTATCTCCTCCACCAACGGAAAATCCACATCCTCAACAATGGCATCGACATTCTTCCCCTAAGTAGGAAACACAATCGCCAAGGGAGCGGCGCGACTCCCTTCACCAGCATTAGATGATAAATTTGACATGTTTATAAGAAAGTAAAGAAAAAAACTGGGAAGAGAGCAAAGATACATAGGATAGGGGTTCAGAGAGAGAGTTTGAAATCTCGAAAGTTTAGGAGAGTAAAAATTTCAAATTCGGGTTTGGTTATCCTTATTTATAGAGATTGAGGCACCAAATCGGAAACGGTTTATCATAATGGCCACCAAACCCGGAACGGCTCATCATGATTAGAACCAGAATCGAAACGGCAGATCCCATCAAAGGTCACACACAAATTGACGTAATGCGTCAGGAACATGCATCATCATGACGCATGACATCACCTCCTCTCTTGGACCAGATGGCTCTAACAAATCATCCGAGAAATTTAAGGTATTTGAAATACGTGGCCCATAAAGAGCCACGTCGCGTACTTGCTATAGCGACTATGACGCATGGTATCTGTTCAACAAGCTCGACCATGAAAGACATTATCCGCTCATGGAACTCGCCCACGAGGACGTCCTCAATAAGTAGAGAGACTAACTCTATGGGTAAAAAATGTCTTAGTTATGATTAAACCATATTAGCATTAAGAGGGCCTTCAAAGAGCAGCCACGTGTCACCAATATGACATCGACAAAAGTCATGCTCAAGGTCGACGTGGTCTCATAAGAGTTGAAGGGCGAAGTCGAGGAGTCAACATAGATGAAGGTCGAGGACTAGGGGTGCTTATCGGGCGGATCGGGCGGATAATTACGTTTAACGGTCCGGCTTATCGATTATCGGATTATAAATGTACTAATCTGCTAACCATCCAATAAGACAACGGGCGGATTGGTATCAGATTATCAATTATCGGGCGATTTATTGGCTAAACTAAATAGAAATTTTTTTATCATAGCATCTTGCTGCTCTAGCTTCACAACTTGATCACATGCTGTTCTAATGTATATTCGAGGCACTTTCTCTGCACATGACAATAAATCCCACAGTATATTATATACATGTTGGATATGAGACTATCTCAATCACCGCACCCAAATGAAGCAGCAACCTTAATTATCAAGCAAAATAACAGGAATGGAACAGAGAAGAAAGGACTGTGATCACTTCCCATTGGCCATTTTTTTATCATAGCATCTTGTTGCACTTTCTCTGTTCTAATGTATATGTTGTTCTCATATCCAACATGTACATAGTATACTGTGGGATCTATTACTCTGGAACAAATTTTTGAATATTCAATGAAGATAAAAGTATAAATATAAAAAATTTTAACGGGTTAATGGTTTATCCGATAAGAAGATTGAGTAATCCGCCCCCAAACCATTAAGCCGTTAATTATAAAATCTCAATCCATTCACCATCCATTATCCCGATAACCCGATACCAATAAGCCATCGGTTCGGTTAACGGTTACGGTTCAGTTTTGAACAGCCCTATCGAGGACGAGCACTCGTCTTAAACAGAGTAATAACGACTAGTTTTAGGATAAGATTCTAAAGAGAATATTCTAGTGGATATTTTCTGTGGTTGTACTATTAGGATTGTTGGCACATGTTCCCTTAAGAAGAGAAAGAGACTTAGTTATAGGACACATTGAATACTCATTTATAAGAGAACACATTGACATTCTCTGAAAAATTTTGCTTTATCACACACATACAAAATATACTTTTTTTCTTGAGATTCTTGTCTAACTTTTCCCCCACGATTCAAGAAGAATTCGAGCATTCAAAAGCTCATCAATCATTCATCATTGTCAGAAAGAATACGAAAGAATCTCATCATTTTCGGGTGACTCACATGCTTTGATTTTTTTAAATGTTATTCATTACTATTTATTGTTATTTATTGCAATCCCCTTCATTTTTGGATCATTGAACATAACACTAGTGTCACCATTTATTGCTACATTGATTATACTCGTACTATCTTTCCCAAAAAACGATTAGTACATCTTTTGGATATTAATATTGGCGAAGATTAATTATCTAATAGTTTAAACTTAAATCTAAATTTTGGATCGAACAAATACAATACAATATAATATAATACAATACGATATTATATTATGAAAAGACATGTAACAATCATCCAAACAAACTGTAAAAAAATCATATGCAAATTTAAACTAAAATTTAGTAATTTAACTTTCGTACTATGAAAAGATTCTGTAACGAAGGAAGTATATCTTTTTTCCCTTAAAAGAGAAGCGAGGATACACGGTTTGAAGAAGTCACACAAGTGGTAGAAGAAACAGTCACGTGTCCAGCAACCGAAGTTTCCTTTCCTTATTGATTGATTCCATTCGCTTTCCTCAATGGGCCATGCCATTACATTTGCGTGTGCGTTTTGCTCAACGAACCAATACCCAAAATTCTGAGCGTGGACGTACCCACATAACATACACGTGTCCACCTACTCTACGACTTTTTACATTTAACCGCCGGTTACCCACCGCCGGTCAGCGCTTCTTATATATCCAAGTTCAACCCCACTTGTGCCAAGTTTGGTATTTGCCGTTTCCCCACACACACGAAAAAAAACATCCACAAACTCCTCGAATTCACACTTTCATTTGGTCAAAATTTTCTCTTTGTGTTTCGAGAAGAAGCCCTAATTCAGTTGTTTTTCTGTGTTATGATCACAAAAGTTGTGGACTTTTAAAGATGGGAGCTGAAGCTGAGGTTATTGTACCAGTACAACAGACTATCACCACGGTCTTAGATGTCCCCTGCTGTTCTGATGTGGTGCGTTTTTCTCTTTTAACATTCTTCTTTACTTTCCCCTTTTGATTTTTAATTGTGTTTTTTACGTTTTTTGGGATACCCATCTTGTGATCTTTGAAGAATTAGCGAAAAGAGCATGTTTTTCAGTGTGAAGTCCCGTGCTTTAGATTTAATTGAAGATTTGATATTTAAAGAATAATATTCAACACCCTAGACTTTGAATTATTACCTCATAAATGCTTATAGAATGTTACGGAACTATAAAGGGAAGCAATAAAAGGAAAACATGTTTGGCTCGTTTCAACTTATTTAAGCTTAATTGTTGAGTTTCAGTAGATTTTAGGAAGGAGTTAGATGTGAAGTGTTGAACACCTGACCTATTGAGGTCTTGGCTTTAAGTGTTAAGTCATTTATGACTAACTTAGGAGCTTTCATACTATCATAAGAGTCATTACATGAGAACAAGTCCCGGATATGTCGGCAAAGGTTGTGTCTTAGGTCATAGGTTCGAGCCCTATGGCATGCGAACTTAGCTTGGTATTTAAGTGGAGAAGGGAAGAGGGGCAAACCCATATCCCTGAAATTTGAAGGTGGCAGTTGGTCATAAGGTTTGGCCCAGATGGATTTCTCGGTCATAATCTAAAAAAAGGTCTAACGTATGTCTGCAGGAGAACACTAGAAAAAGGCGGAAATTTTTGTGCATAGTGGTTATTGTTATGTTCAGGTTATTTATTGAAGCTAGAATGATTGCCCAAGTTTTTCTGTAGGTATTATGACATGCTATTGATAAGTATAGTTAATATTATATCTAAGGTGCCTCTAAGAAGTAAGAAAAGCTTCCAGTGGAATTTGGAGGATGGCAACTACACAAAGCATAGAATGTTTCTTGGTGTTCAAAGAGGAAATTTATGCTTTGAAATGTTTCTTGTGAAGCTCCTTGTATTCTAATTAGGCAAAGCAGTTGCTTGGCTCTTTTATAAGGGGACCTACTGGGCCTTTCTTCTACAATAGGGAAATCTGTGCTGAAACGCTGCCGTGAAGCTCCTTTAAGTGTTAATTTTGTGTGCTTAATTAGGCATAGCCATAGTATTAGCCTTATGTAAAGGTCACTTATTGAGCCTCTTCCCCATAACAGGGAAAGATGCACTTCAATGCAGATCGTAAGGTATCTAAGTGTTGATGAACATATTAATTAGGCAAGAAGTAGCTTGACTCTTCGATAAAGTGGAGCTACCTTCTCTCTGCTACAGTAAAATGTGCTCAGATATAGTTTGTAAAGCTCATTTGCATGGATATCAGTTTTTCTCTTTGTTTCTTTGAAATTGTTCTCGTTCTCTTAGTTCGATCAGTGGCTTTTTAAGGTTGCATTTTCACAACATTGTGATGATAGAAGTCCACTCAAAACATTAAATCTTGGGCTTTCAATTTATCTACTAGAAAAAGATTGCCTTGGTATTCTCAAGCATGGACATGTTTCTTCTCATTTTTTATCAGCATTCTCTAGGCATTCACAACTTTTTTCCTCATTTCTGACATCTTTCTTCTTGAAATGTTTTCGGTGGAGGGAGGGGAAAAGTGTAGGATATTTACAACAATGATTGTCATAGCATTTAAATATGTTGTGGTTTGATTTTTCTGGAACAGTTGGGGCCACAAAACCAAATTTATTTAGAATACTGTGTATATTACAATTGGGGACAGGAGTACAGAGTTACTGATACATGTCTCTTTGGAACCAAAAGGTAATGTAAGTTTTTCTTTTGGGGGTGGGTGGGGTGTGGAGGGGGGACAGATGACCTGCAGGGTAGGGAAGATGGATTAGGTCTGTTCTCCTATGGTGTTCATCTTTCTGTTCCAGATTTACCTTTGCATATGAACCATGCCATGTCATTTTGAGCTCTTCTCAAGGTTAATATACTTTGAAACATATCAGAGACATTGCAAGATTGAAGTATTTTAGGACCAAGCTCGATTTTCATAATGACAAGAATCCACACTAGTGTTAGCCTAGAGGTCCATGTTCTGGTTAATTGTGTTGCTATACTGTTCAGCCACATTCCTCTTGGACGAACAGTCAAGTTGCCCACATCATGTGCAGAGTGAAGCCTGTTATGACCAGTTAATATTTTATTCTTTTTGAGTGGAAGAGAGGAATCCCTCCACTTGTGGAGCTTCCTTTAAAGTTAAGTGTATTCAGCTGATGTACCTTTTCTCAATGCTCAACAATATTTGTGCTAAATATGTACATTATAATTAGTGCTCGGTATTAAACCTTCTTTTGTCGTTTGTGAGATGATGTGTCTCTATCAATTCTTTCTTTCAGGATTTTAAATCCCCAGATACTACAACTTTGCAGTTTGTTCCTAGCATTCGTTCAGGTAGTTTTGCAGATATTGGCCCACGGAGGTTCATGGAAGATGAGCATATAAGGATAGATGATCTTTCCGAACATCTAGGCTCCCTAGTCAGGTTTCCTCAGCCTTGTGCCTTCTATGGGGTAATTTTCACTTCTGGAACATTATACATTGGTCATTGCGGAGCTTGTCTAACTGATTCTTGTTCACTATCTTGTAGGTATTTGATGGTCATGGAGGACCTGAGGCAGCAGCTTATGTGAGAAAACATGTTCTCCGATTCCTTTTTGAGGACGCCAATTTCCCTCAGACATCAGAAGTTGATGAGGCATTTTTAAAAGAGGTGGAAAACTCTCTAAGAGAAGGGTTTCTTCTTGCTGACCTTGCTTTGGCTGATGAGTGTAATGTGTGTAGTTCCTCTGGAACTACTGCATTGACAGCTCTGGTATTGGGAAGGTAAATTTTTAATATTATGTATTCGCACGTAAATGCTTCTCCTTTTGTACAAAAATGGTCATGTTCATGATTGCCTCTGGGTCTCACTTGTAGCCCTATTATGTTCTCAATCTTATTTCTTGTCACTCTAGCCGCATCATACGGTGTTCAGTTCTTTAAGCGGGTAATATAAGTTATTCATTCCTTAGTCGAGGATGCTGTTTGATGGATGAGAGTCAACCTGTCTTTATTTTTGAGTTTCGCAGAATTGCTTTGCCATGTATCGAACCATAGATGACTCTAGAACTTGTGAAATTGCAGGGCTAGGGAGGACCATAGGATTTGATTCTGTTCTATGAAATTTTTGGAACCTGCATTTTTTTACTGTATTCTTGTTAACTAAACTGCTACTCTGTCCTCTTCTAGGCTTCTAATGGTGGCAAATGTGGGAGACTGCCGAGCAGTTCTTTGCCATAAGGGAGAGGCGATTAATATGTCTCAAGACCATAGACCGAATTATGCATCGGAGAGAAGGCGTGTCGAAGAGTTGGGCGGATTTATTGATGATGGTTATCTCAATGGTGTCCTATCGGTGACTAGAGCCTTAGGGGACTGGGACATGAAGCTGCCTCGTGGCTCTGCCTCTCCTCTGATAGCGGAGCCTGAATTCCGACAGATTATCTTGAGCGAGGATGATGAATTCCTTATAATTGGTTGTGATGGCATCTGGGATGTTATGTCAAGTCAACAAGCGGTTAATCTTGTACGTCGTGGTCTGAGACGGCATGATGATCCTGAACAGTGTGCCAAGGATCTTGTCATGGAGGCCCTGCGGCTCAATACTTTCGACAATCTTACTGTGGTAATTGTTTGCTTTACTTCTGTTGATCATTCTGAACCATCACAGTCACGACAGAGGCGATTAAGATGCTGCAGCTTCTCTGCAGAAGCCTTGTGCAGCTTACAGAGTTGGTTGGACAACAGTGGAAGCCGTTGAGTTTAGATGATTCTGCAAGGATAAAAGCCAACCTTTGTGGATGTTTTTTCTTTCTTCCATCTGTTTTTGGGTGGGTTTTCTGTACATATAATTGGTTGGCAAAGAGAATGGGCTCAGTTTGGTGCTCTTTGTTGTATGGAACATGTATCTCATTTTATTAGCTGTATATAACAACTGATTTTCAATTTGTATATTCACCATTGAAGCATTTAAGTTGTGCTCCGTTCAACATACACATTGTCATAAGTTAACTTTCTCTTATTCTTTTGACGAGACCTTAGTTTTTCTTCTTAGTTCTTACTTGTCTTCCCCTTGTACTCCTCAATATCGTGGGTGCGCACACAAATACTATTGCAGCACAGTTAAAAGTGACAAGAAAAGGAATACTGATCGGTTTATTAAAGAAAAGAGAATTAAAGTTCTGCTGTCAAACGGTCAAAGCTACCAGTCGTATGAAGCTACATGAAACAAGAACAACATGCTACTGTACCACCAGATAGTCTTCCTTCTCCCTTATTAGCAACTTAAATATATGTTAAATTTAACGATGGCTATAGATATAATTAGGTGGCTGCAGAGCTCACGCCAAAATTTCCATCTGCAGCTAGCTATGGCAGGAATTTTGATACAGTGGTATGATTTTATTTGTTTCGGGATAGTAGGCATCGCCATGTTTGGCGCCCTTTACGTGCTCTGCTGCTGCAAAATTAAGCATCAGCGTTACCAAATACTTAATGGTGATCATATTGACGACAACAACATTATTGGTCGTCATGAGATCCTTTTGCCCCTGCAGGGCTGCAATCAGTCGTCGTCGTCGCCATCAGCAGTGGAGTTTGGGAGTTTGTCAAGTAGTTGTTGGCGTGGGATTCACCCTGTATGGCTCTTGGCTACACGTTTTGGATCTTTAGTTGTTCTCTGCATATTTTTAACCTGGGATGTCCTTCTTTACAACTACTCCATCTTTGTCTATTACACCGAGTAAGTTCTTTACGTGTGTATATCTATGAACCGTATTTGTGTTTTTAACCTGAAATTTAATGATTTTCCAAAAATTTGAATGTAGGTGGACTTTTACGTTGCTAATCGTCTATTTTGCAGTAAGTAAAATATCGACAATTAAGCAATGGTTATTTCCATCACCAGTTATATATTGGTCTGAGACCACTTAACTAATTGATGAGCTGCATTGTCTTTTTAAATCTGTCGCCCTCTGCAACTAATTATTTAAATGTAGATTGGAACCATCATATCAGCATATGGATGTGTACGGTACTACTCAAACAAATCAGCTCCACGTCCTGGCGACGTAATTGCTGATCATGAGATGTACAACAAGGCAAAGACCAACAAGAGCATGTTCAAACTGCAAGGCCAATATTACAATGAAGACACAGTACCAAAACGAGCAAGCTTTTGGACTTACGTGCTAAAAATTTCGTATCAGGTAAATATTAGTCCCTGATCAAGAATTGGATGGACTATATGTGGAGCAATTCAACATAATATATATGTTGTGCATTACGCATCAAATGTATGTCCTATTCTAATGAGACTTTCTTACCTGAAAACAGACATGTGCAGGTTCAGTAATTCTTACAGACATCATCTTTTGGTTCATTATACTACCCTACTCGTCAAATTCACATCTTCAGCTAAACCTGGTATATATACATGCATGCTTCTTTCCTCAGTTGTTGAACGTCTTTTTTTCTTAAAGTTACTTTAAGGGAAAATATTGATGATACATTGTTATGTGAAATTGTTCAATTTCAATGTTTCGAGAATCTTACGTATTTGTTTATTCATGTCTTAAATATTCTAAGTATTATTTCATCAAAATATCTCGTACAGCTAGCCACAAGCACTAGTTAGCTAAATCTAGTTAAGGATCTTAAGTCTTGAACATACATTTATCATTTTGTTGTTGTTTACCTGACAGTTGATGGGTGGTATGCATTCTCTCAACATTATTTTTCTTCTGATTGATACCTCTCTCAATAGCCTGGTAAGACACAATATTGTTCAATTTCTGTGTTCTGAGCCTTTTTTTAACATTTCCTACTCATCTGAGTACACTTAATTTGCAGCCATTACCTTGGTCGGGGATTGCATATTTTGTGTTGTGGAGCTGCTGCTATGTCATTTTTCAGTGGCTTATCCATGCCTGCGGTTTCATTTGGTAATAATATACTATTCCTCCTAGTATGTATTTTTGCATGAAGAATACAATGTAACCTTCTATTTTAATTTAGCTGAACTTATTTCTATTTTAAGATTTCAATATTACCTGTAATAAGAAGTGTTCACAATTACACAAATGGTATGTCATGTTTAAGACTATATGTTTCAAAGACTTATAATCACACAAATATTATGATATCTATTAGAAATCCCAATGAAACAGTAGCTCAAAGCTCAATTGAGCATTGATGGTGAACAGGTCTGAACCTCGCTGCCATGAGAGCTCAGAGTGAGGGAGAAGATGAGGAGAGGGAAAGAAGAAGATTCTTGAATTTTTCTATTCACTCTAAAAAATAAAAATAAAAGTGAGTGGAGTGTATCCACTATATACAAAATGAGAATCAAAGCTAGAATAAGGAAAATGAAAATGAGCTAACTAACTAACTTCTACAGTTGTAACTTAGTTGTACTAACTGCTCTACTAACTAACAACTAACACTAACATTCCAATAACTAATTAATGTGAGCTAAGATGGATAATTAATCTTAACACCCCCCCCCCCCCCCAAGTTGGAGGTGTGGTGAACACAACCAACTTGCCTAATGTAGCACTATGTTTGATCCCAGTCAGAGCTTTAGTCAACACATCTGCAAGTTGATTGTCTGTTTAATGTGGTAAAGAGAGATTAAGCCTGCTTGTAGTTGATAACGCACAAAATCACAATCCACTTCTATATGCTTTGTTCTTTCGTGAAACGCTGGATTCTTTGCAATATCCAGGGCAGACTGACTGTCACACAAAACTGAGATGGGCAAGGAAAACGGGATAGTTAGTTCCTCAAGTAATCTGCTCAACCATACTAGTTCCCCCACTACTTTCCTCAAAGCTCTATATTCTACTTCTGCACAGGATAGAGATATGGTTTCTTGCTTCTTAGATTTTCAGCTGATAGGACTGTTGCCCAGCAGTACCACATAACCTGTGATGGACCTCCTAGAATCCGGGTATGCTGCCCAATTAGAGTCACAGTAAGCTTTGACAGTGTGATCTCCATCCTTTGACATGAAAATTCCTAGAGTAGGATCATTCCTCAGATATTTGACAAGGTGAAATGCTGCTTTCAAATGGGGTTCTCTGGGCTCCTGCATAAATTGGCTCAAGTGTTGAACACTATATGCAATATCCAACCTAGTATTAGTTAGAAAATTTATTTTCCCTACTAGCTTTCTGTAATAGGTAGGGTCTTGCAGAATAGTGCCTTTTTTGGCTTTCAGCTTTGTAGTGGGATCCAAAGGTGAAGAACAAGGCTTGTAATCCAAACAGTTGTACTTCTTTAACAAGTCTAGTACAAACTTCCTCTGAGATATGATTACTCCATTATATTTATACATAATCTCCAGCCTCAGGAAGTAATGTAGTTGCCCCAGGTCCTTGATCTTAAATTGTTCGTGCAGGAATGCTTTGAGCTGTGTACTTTCTTGTTGGTCAGTTCCAGTGAGTAGAACATGATCTACATATACTGCAACATATACTGAGGATTCTCCATTCCTTTTGTAGAAGAGAGATTAATCATACATGGAATGTGCATAACCCTTTGAACACAATGCTTCAGTCAATTTTGCATACCATTGTCGACTAGCTTGTTTCAAGCCATAAAGAGACTTGTTCAGTTTGCAAACCAATCCTTGCTTGTCTACAACTAGTCCAGGTGGTACTTTCATTTACACTTCTTCACTGAGATCTCCATGTAGAAAAGCATTGTTCACATCCAACTGAGATATGAGCCAGCCTTTCTTAACTATTATAGCTATTAAGGTCCTCACTGTTGTCATCTTCACCATTGGTGAGAAAGTTTTTGTATAATCAATTCTTGCTTGTTGAGTGTAACCTTTAATAACCAATCTGACTTTGAACCTTTCAATGTTGCCATCAGCTTTGTGTTTTACTTTGTAGACCCATTTGCACCCTATTTCCTTCTTCCCAGGTGGCAGGATTACTAGGTCCCAAATGTGATTGGAACATAGTGCTTCAAATTCCTGTGTCATTGCTGCTTGCCATGCAGGATCAATGGCTGCCTCCTTATATGATGATGGTTTCCTGTCATGACAAACATTTCTCACAAAAGTCTGACTATCGGTAGTTTGTAGATCAGAGGCAATATGATGATTCATAGAGAATAAGGCATTTAAGGAAACAGAATTTGTTTTGAGGTGATGAAGGGAGTGTACATAATCTTGCAGATAAGTAGGTGGTTGTGAGTTCTTTGTGATTATCTTACTAGTTGGACAGGTTCTCCATGAGTCTTTTTAGGATAGTGTAGTTATGGTGAATCAGGTAGTGAAAAATTGGGCACTACTGAAGGTGATGAAGAAACTACATGTACAGGTGACACAGGATTGGATGTGTTATCTGAACTCCTTTGATCACTCAAGTTCTCAGACATTTTTGTGACATTTGTATCATCAGAAGGTTGCTCACAGAGGGATTCAATGAAAGGAATTGGATGGAAGACATGTGACTGAGGAGATTTGCTTATATTGACTACAAAAGGAAAGATGGATTCATTAAAGACTACATCTCTGGAGATGTGAATTTTTCTGGTGGCTAGACTCAGAACTTTGTACCCCTTTGTGTTGAAAGGATAGCCAACAAACACATGTGCTGGTGTTCTGGGTTGAAACTTGTCCCTATGTGGTATTGGTACAGTGGAGTAACACAAACAACCAAGGCTCTTTAGGTGAGAGTATTTTGGCTTTCTTTTGTACAATAGTTCATATGGAGTTTGATTGTTAATAGAAGTAGAAGGTAGTCTGTTTGATTTGGGTGGCACAAAAAACGCATTCAACCTAGTATCTTAAAGGTAGTTTGGATTGGAAGAGAAGTGTCCTTTCTGTTTCCAAGAGATATTTGTGCTTTCTTTCTACCATACAATTTTGTTGTAGTGTGTAGGAATAGGTTCTTTGATGAATGATTCCCTTAGGTTGGAACAAGATACTTGCTTCTGTGTTGGTGAACTCTAATCCATTGTCTGACCTTATGGATTTAATAGTCACACCAAACTGGTTTTTTACAAACTTTATGAATTCTTTGAGTATTTGAAGGGCATTATTTTTGCTAGACAGAAGATGATTCCAAGTGGATCTACTAAAATTATCCACCATAGTTATGAAGTATTTGTATCTATCATGTGTAGGAACATGATATGGACCCCATAAATCAACATGTAGAAGTTCAAAAATTCTTTTGGTTGTACTGGTTTTCTGAGGGAATGGTAGTCTTTCTTCTAGCCATTGGACAGATGGTGCAGTTAAAGGGTTGTTTAGGTGAGAATTTGAAAGGGATAGAAGTGATATTTTTCATTTTGGCAAAGGGGACATGACCAAGTCTATTATGCCACAACACATCTGCATTACTTTTAGCACAGAAATGAGAGAATATGTTGGGAACCTTACAAAGTGATCTTGCAAAAGAATCCTGTTTTTCAATATTTGCACATGGACTATTTACAACTAGGCAAGAAGAAACACACTTATTGAAATGTAATGGCCTATTTACAATAGAATGAGAGGGACAATATGTATTACAAGTGCAACAAGTAGAAGTAGTGGGCAGGACATGAGTAGATTTTACTGCAGTATTTATAGTGTTCCTCTTCAGACAGCTTGGGCATAGGATGTACAGCCCATCTTTTACTCTACCAATCACCAGAGACCTCTTCATTAAAGGGGCCTACAGTATACAACAATGTTTAATAAAGGCAACAAGACTATTGAGATGAGAGGCCAAAGAATGAACTGAGATTAGATTGTATCTAAAGGAAGGAAAAAACATCACTTTATTTAGAGTGATCTTAGGAGTGAGCATCACACTGCCAATTTCTGTCACCTTTACCTTGTAGCTATTTGGAAGTACAACTAACAAAAGGTAGGGTAGAACTATTATGTTGGTTAATAAGGATTTGTTAAAGGTCATATTATTTGATGCCTCTAAATCTATAATCCATGTGTCAGCTTTATTTTGGAAAAATTCACATGACAGCTTACCAAAATCAATGGAGGAAGTGCAAGCTATGATACCTGCAAAGTTTGTTGTTCCTGATGCAATATTTCCACTAGTTGTGCAGTCTTTTCCTCCTCCTGATTGAAATTGATGCAGTAGATTTACTAGCTGGCTGTATTCTTCTTGGGTAAGGCTCACACTTTGAGCATTGTCATAAGTAGCATACGTCTCAGACTCAGCAGGTTGTGTGTCAGTAGTTGCTACATGTGAATTAGTCACTCCTCTGTTACTTCTATTCAACCTATTATTCTAATTGTAGTTGAAATTTTGCCCAGGATTTTGATTGGAATCGGAAGACTGGTTTTGGATTTACATTTGGATTCTGATTCTGATTGAAACTTTGAGGGTATCTATGAAGCTTATAGCATTTCTCTTTGGTCTGTCCTGGTCTCTTACAGTAATCACAAAAAGGTTTGTTCATGCTGTTATGATTATTACTAGGAGAGTAATTAGTCCTGGACGACCCAGGTCTGTTTGTGCCAACACTCAAGGCTGATGATTCTAGAGCCAAATGACCATTTGGTTTGATTTCTCTCTGACTTTCCTCTTGAATTAGCAAAGAAAAGGCTTGGGCAATTGTAGGAAGAGGATTCATCATTAGTATACTACCTCGAACCATAGTGTATGTCTCATTCAATCCCGTGAGAAATTGTATAAGCCTCATATCCTTCTCAGCTTTGTGCATGCCTTCCATAGCTTCACATGTGCAATTGCAAGTGCAATGAGATTTGAAAATCAAAGTGTTGAGTTCCTCCCACAATTTCTTCATCTTTGTGTAATAACAAGTGATATCAAGGGCTCCTTGGGACAGATCATTGATTTCCTTTTGGATTTGGTACAGTTTCATTCCATTTGTCTGATCATATCGATCTTCTAGTTCTCTCCACAATTCAGCTGCATCTGCTACATACTCAACACTATCTGTAATTTCCTTAGCTAAGGAATTTAGAATCCATGAAGTGACTGTATCATCATATCTCTCCCATAATCGAAATTTTGATGAATCTAGATCTGGCCTCTTGCATTCTTCGTTGATAAATCCCAGCTTATTTTTCACTGGCAGGGCTCGCATTACACCCCTTTTCCATGATCGATATCCAAAAACATCAAAAGGAATAGGAACCAAAGCTATTCCGGGATTATCAGATGAATGCATGTACAAAGGGCTACAGATATCAACACTTGACTGATTAGAAGACTATGCCATAGGTGGTGTAGATTGAACATCGTTTTTAATAATCGTCATCTCTTTCAATAAGAAATTTCTAAACAATTAAGAACTGGAATCTAGTAATTACAGATCTAACAACAATTTTTAAGTGAATATCGATTCAGAAACAGAACATAACCTCCTCACAATTGTAACTTGAAATCGGTGGAAAAGTGGACTTGCATGTGTGCGATCTAGAAGAAATCGAGACTGATGGAGTTAGAGTTAACAGATTCAGAGAAGCGAGACTAGATCTAAGCTCCTAGCTCTGATACCATATTAGAAATTCCAATGAAACGGTAGCTCAAAGCTCAATTGAGCTTTGATGGTGAACAGGTCTGAACCTCGCTGCCATGGGAGCTCAGAGTAAGGGAGAAGACGAGGAGAGGGAAAGAAGAAGATTCTGGAATTTTTCTATTCACTCTCAAAAAATGAAAAAAGTGAGTGGAGTGTATCCACTATATACAAAACGAGAATCAAAGCTAGAGTAAGGAAAATAAAAATGAGCTAACTAACTAACTTCTACAGCTGTCACTTAGCTGTACTAATTGCTCTACGAACTAACAACTAACACTAACATTCCAATAACTAATTAATGTGAGCTAAGATTGATAATTAATCTTAATAACATCTTTAAGATAAAAAATGTTAAACTCCATGCATATTAAGCCAAATAAGTTTACATAAATTAAAACTCATGAAGTTTTACTATATGGTTTCTCCTTAAACGTCAACTCTGAACTTAATATTGTAAATTTTTCTAAGGTGGCCCTACCCCTTTTTGGAACTTTCAATGCCGCGGGCTCCTCTATGGTACGTAAACCTTTATAAATTTTGTACTACGTTTCTTTGTTCACTCTTCTGCTAAATCTAATGCTTATTGCTTACGTGCTACGGCAGGTACTTTTGCTTGACGGTGTTTCACTTACCTTGCTATGGAATTTATTGGTTGCTTGTGGCTTTCAAAAACTCAACGTTCTCTACATTGTGCCCCCAAGCGTTTGTAAGACACTCCTGCTAGAATGGGAGCCAGGGTTGAGTCGGATTCAGGTTTTGAATTTTATGGGCTTAAATTCATAATTCTATCATATCTCATATAATTTAATGAGTTCAAAATTTATTATTTATACTTATGTAATAATTGTTTGAGCAAAAATATAGGATATGGGTTTAGGTGAACCCATAGGCTCTACACTGGATACGCCCCGAGTGTTTGGACTTTTAATTAGTGGGTGATTGAAATGCAATATATATTGTGTTATCTAAAGAACCTTTACTGTTTTTAGAACCCAGTCATTATTATCACTTAAAGATGTCGTTCTAAATTCAAAATTTATAAATTTGAAATCATGGCTATGTCTCTTGTTTTGGTACGACCCAAAACCCAACAAAGAAAAGTAATTGTATTTCGATCTAAGAAGAATAACTAATGTCATCATGTCTCTCGGCTGAATTTGCCTAATAGCATTTTTAAAGATCGCTTATTATATTTTGTTTGAAAAGAAAAATTACAGAAACATTGTTTTCTTTAATTTATATTTCTTAACATGATTTCTGGAAGAGCAATTTTTATGCTATATATATATATACTTAACACAAACTAATTATTCATTTTCACCTACTTTTAAAATAGTTACACTATATATCTAGCCGATCAAAATTATTTACCCGTGTACCTATTTTTCTTATTCATTCTTCTACTGCAACTATGCAGTTTAAAGTTGCCCGGTACCTTTTTCCTATATTTTTCTTCTCGCTTTCTCTTTCTTCACTTTCTCTAATGGGATTATCTCCCTGTGTATAATCTCTGATCTGTCCGCCTTTTCTATCCTCTCCTTTTCATGTATTTTGGAAAAACAAAGCTAAAAAGTAAATATGTAAAAAACTTAGGGTTTCAATAGCTTCTTCTCAAAATTCTCAATCTCAATGAGTTCGATAAATTTTGGCTTTCTCTATATGAAATTTTCATGTGTTTGAAGATCCACCATTGTTGAGCATGAAGCTCTTTAATACTCCCTCCATTTCAATTTATGTGAACTTATTTGACTGGGCACAAAGTTTAAGAAAAGAGAGAAGACTTTTGGACTTGTGGTCTAAAATGAGGCACATATATTTTGTGTGACTATAAATCATTACATAAAGGTAAATTATTTCCAAATAGGGAAAGGGATCATTCTTTTTCGCACGGACTAAAAAGAAAATAATTTTACATAACTTAAAACGGTTGGAGTATGAATTATTAACCTGGAGATTTTGTTATTTAATTCAAAGTGGGTGTTACAATATGTTGTCTATAGTACCTTTGGGATGTTCGTACCAAAATTTAGTTGCATTTGGGGCTCATTTGGGGTGATTATAGGAATTAAATTTTTGAAGACCTTCCATTGTCGAGCTTGAAGCTTTTAATATGAAGAAGAAACAAAATTACCCAACAATATATCGTTACAGTATACAATATACTATAAAAGTATATTGATATACTATACAGTTTACTACGTAGTGCATACAATAGGATTTCTACAATAATATACTATAATAATATACAATACACTGTAATAGTATACAACATACTACAATAATATATAATATGCTGCAACAGTATGTCGTTATAATTGCACCATTTTCCAGGTTTTCAAAATTATCAGGTCCTTGTTCAAATTTTATACATTGTTTTCATGGTGGAGATTTTGCAGTAATTTTTTTAAATTTGGGTTAAAGCTGAGTTGAACGGGAGAAGAAGAATTTGTACTCTATACCAAAATGATATACTATATATGTCACGACCCCAGTTCGCCCTCCGTGAACATGTCGTGATGGCACCTAGTCCCTATAACTAGGTAAGCCTAACAATGCGGAAATAACAACCTAACTTGCGAAACATTTAATTAAAACTGAACATTTTAAGATAATAGCTGTAAATAAGGCCGCTCGGCCTATACAACTCAAAAGAAATGCGAAAGTCTACAACACAATCCCAAAATCCGAAAACTCACGGGAACCACAGGCTAATAGAAATACCGTAAATGCTCTAATCTCCAGAATGTCTACATCAAAGTATGATAGAATCTAAACACTACAGATAGACTAAGGAAGGAGGCTCTTCGATCTGCGGACGCTGCAGATATACCTCGAAGTCTCCGTAGCTCTCCCCGCCTCAAGGGTAGTGCGCCTGAGAAGAAGTACCTGGGTCTGCACATAAAAAACATGCGCAGAAGAGGCATGAGTATACCACAGCGGTACTCAGTAAGTGCCAAGCCTAACCTCGGTCGGGTAGTGACGAGGAAGGTCAGGGTCATACTGAGGCTAAGCAATGTAATAAGAATGTCCAATATGAAAACGGATAGAAATAATGTGAACAACAGTGAAATAAGATAGAATTTACAAGGCAACAACAAATAAGCAGAGAACAGAGTAAACACAGAAATGTACAGCTCAATACCAAAATATCAAATGAGGATCTCCCAGGATATTGTCCTGTAGTACTTTCTCAACTGTCCAGTGGATCTCCCGGGATACCGTCCCGTAGTCCATCATATGTGTATATCCGAAGGATCTCCCGGGTTACCGTCCCGTAGTCCAACTATAAATGTGCAGGGGGATCTATCGGGAGTCGAACCCGCAGTCCCAAAGTAAATATGCAGGGGGGATCTATCGGGAATTGAACCTGTAGTCCCAAAGTAAATATGCACGGGGATCTATCGGGAATCGAACCCGCAGTCCCAAAGTAAAAGTGCAGGGGGATCTACCGGGAATCGAACCCGTAGTCCCAAAGTAAACAAATAAGGGTGGGGGGGGGAGCTACCGAAATCCCACATCCGTAGTCCCAATATAAATGCGCAATCACAACCAGAAAATATACAGAAATGAAGTACCAACAGACAAGCAACAGGTAGTACTGGCCTAGCATGCTTCATGTAGTACAGTCAAGGCAACTTAAGCAATTAGGAAAGTTAAATCAACTAAACATGCTTTCCTAATCTAGCACAGGCTATAATTGCAAGTAGAATAAAGCAAATATGAAAGAAACTCAATCTCAATATCTTAAGTAAAAAAAAACCGGATTTTCAATAATTGGCTCAAGTACGCGCTCGTCACCTCGCGTACAAGGCACTCAAAATATCAAATAATAAATCCTAAGACAAGGTTAGACAAGCCACTTACCTCGAACCGGCTCCAAAATCAACTCGAAATCACACTTTTGCCACGAGTATCCGACTCCAAATCGCTCAAATCTATTCAATTCAATTACATATTGTAAATAACATCTCAAGCAATTAATTCTACTATTAAATTCAAAGATAAGACGCGAAATTAGGTAAAATGACCAAAACGCCCCTCAGGCCAATATCTCGGAATCGGATAATTTTCACATTTTCAGAACCCTCGTACTCTCACGAGTCTAACCATATAAGAATCTCTCGAATCGGAGGTCAAACACCCACTCAAAACTCAATAGTTTTGTCTAAGAAGTTTTTCCCCATTTTTCATTCAAATTCCGAAATTAAGGAGGAATTAGTGATTAGACTAGTGGGTCATAAGCATAAGAGAGTAGAGAATCGTTACCCAGTAGTTGCCCTCGAAAAACCTTCGAATTTTCTCCCAAATCCGAGCTCCCAAGATTGTATTTTGATAAAAAAATGGCTAACCCTCATTTTTGAATGATTTAATACTGCCCAGGTCCGTTGTGCATCGCGAACGCGGAAGTGGGCTCGCGTTTGCGAACAAGAAATAATAACGCTGCCAAAAATACCCTTCGCGATCGCGAGACGAAGGACGCGAACGCGAAGGCCTGGGCTCAGGAAACTACGCGAACGCGACTCTATAATGCGAACGCGTTGAGTAAAAATAAGCTAAGGCTTCAGAGTCCAATAAACCTATGCGAACGCGATGGCATTGACGCAGACGCGATTGAGGAAAACACGAAGCTCCGCGAACGTGAAGGTATAAACGCGAACGCGATGAGGAAGCTGGTCCTCCTCGAGAATTACTCTACGCGAATGCGTGGAGGAGGACGCGAGCACGAAAAGGAAGAAGATCAAAGCTAAGCGAACGCAAGGATAAGACCGCGAACGCGAAGAAGGATTTGGAACCTGCAACTGCTGAAGATTTTCTGCAACCTTTTCACACTCCGAAATGCTCCGTTGAGCATCCGAAACACCCCCGAGGCCTCCGGGGCCTCAACCAAACCTACGGACATATCCCATAACTGTGACGACCCGACCCGTCGTCTCATGTGTTACCGCCCCGTTTTCCCCATTTATTGCTTCTTCATGTTTCATTATCGGCATTTGGTAAGTTAGAGTCGAATCGGTTTGGTTTTGGTAGAAAATGAGACATTTAGTCTCTTTAAGGAAGGCTTGTAATGGAAAAGTCAACCGGATGTTGACTATTGAGTTAGAGGGCTCAGATGTGAATTCCAATGATTTGGTTAGCTTCGGGGGATGATTTGTGACTTAGGAGTGCGATCGAAATTGATTTTGGAGGTTCGGTGTAGAATTAGGCTTGAATTGGCGAAGTTAGTATTTTGGCGAATTCCGGTTGGTAGGTGAGATTTTGATCCGGGGGTCGGAATGAGATTCCGAGAGTTGCAGTAGCTTCGTTAGGTGATTTGGATGTGTGTGCAAAACTTCAGGTCATTCGGAGGTGTTTTGGTTGGGTTTCTGATCGAATGCGTGTTTCGGAAGTTTTAGAAGAACTTAGGCTTGAATTCGATGAGAAATGATGGCTTTAGTATTGTTTGAGGTGTTTTAATGATTGGAGCAAGTTTGAATAAGGTATTGGATCATGTTTGTATTTTTGGTTGAGGTCCCGAGGGCCTCGGGGTGATTTCGGATGGCTAACGGGAAGTTTTGAACTTAGGAGATTGCAGAACCTGTGCTGCTTCTGGTATTTTCGCTCCTGCGGAAATGGGACCGCAGAAGCGGTACCGCAGAAGCGAGTCAAGAACCGCAGAAGCGACAGGCATCGCAGGTGCGGAGATGCTGACCGCATCTGCGGAGTCGCGGATGCGACAGTAGGACCGCAGATGCGGAATTTTGGAAGGCTAAAGGAAACCGCACCTGCGTAAAAGGAATCGCAGATGCGAGACCGCAGAAGCGGTCTAGTAACCGCAGAAGCGGTCTTGTCCGCAGAAGCGGCTCCCCATCGCAAAAGCGGAAGTCGCAGATGCGGCTATGTAGCCGCAGATGCGGAAATAACTGGTCAGAAAGGGTTTTAATTCCCTTCGCGAAATATTTACAGAACACATATTTTGACTTCGGACTTGGGGTGTTCTTGAGCGATTTTGAAGAGGAAATTCAAGGACTTCGATCAGGTAAGCATTCTTGGACTTAGAACACAATTTTATCATGCAAATACATGAAATTTCACTGAAAACTCAAGGAATTAGGGTCAAAAATGGTGGTTTAGGGCTTGAAACCTAAGAGAACAAAAATGGGAATTTGAGGGGTCATTTGGACTCCGATTTTGGTATTCTTTATATGCATGGACTCGTGGCGAGATAAGGAATCCGGTGATGTGAATTTTATAATTTTTCGAGAAGTGGGCTCGGGGCTCGGGTTTTACCAACTTCGTGATTTTCGATGTTTTCGAGTCTTTTCAATTGGGTTATATTCCCTTAGCATATTGTGACGTATTCGTTGTGGTTTTGGTCAGATTCGACGCCCGAAGAGGTGAATTCGAAAGGCAAGGGCATAGCAAGCTAGGACTTTGGCCGGCTTGAGGTTAGTAATAAATGTAAATGCTGTGTTGAGGGTTTGAAACCCCGAATTTGCACATCGTAGTGCTATGTGAGGTGACTTGCACGCCGGATAACGGGCGTGGGGTAGAGCACCGCCAGGGACTGTGACTTGGTCCATCCCACTTAATAAAATTGGTACCTATTTGATTGTAGATTTGTAATATCCTTATAAAAATGGATTAATTGTCATAATTGGGCTTCTTGCCAACTACTTGAATCCTTCAGGGATTATTTTAATGGTTTCTTACCATATTTATAAATATTAAACTCAGTCCTGGTATTTAATACTGTGTTTGAAATCTCAGCCTTTTTCTTAAATTAGAAATTAAGTTAATATTTTTAAATGATGTTTGGGCTGAATATTTTTATACTATTGTGTGATTTTTGGACTGAGTATGGGATCGGGCTGCACGCCGCAGCAGTATTATAATGATATTGATATGAGGCCAAGGGCCTGTTTGATGCCACGAGATGGCTTATTATTGCGCTTGGGCCGTAAGGGGCCCCTCCCGGAGTCTGCACACCCCCAGTGAGCGCCGTCGACGTTAAATAAATGGAGCGGGCTGCACGACCGCAGCGGGATACTGGAGGTACCGGTTTATGTGTTGCATTGCATATTTAATTGTTATTTATTCTCATTCTGGTGTGACTTTATTATAACTGTTTTAAATGTTTGCTGTATTATGCTATTGGTCCACGTTGTTGTATTTATAGTTTTACTTTGTGTTTATTTAGGATTTCTTATCCTCAGACTTTATTATATTTATGACTTTCTGGGTTGGAAGTACTCACAATACTCCCTGCACCTTGTGTGCAGATTCAGGTACACCACAGGGTGAGTGAGGACTTGTTTAGTGGAGCAATAAATATCCGGGAGTATCGAGGTAGCTGCATGGCGTTCGCAGCCTTGATCTCTCTCTTCTATCTTTTATTATTTTATTCGTATATTTTTCTTAGTCGGACTTGTAATAGGTGAATAATCTGTTTCTAGAGGCTCATGTTCGTGACACCAGATTCTGTGGGTTGATCAGTATTTTGTTTTCATTTTGGCGTTTTCGAATGTTAGAAATTATTTCAGAAATGCCGCACTAAATTGGTATTTTTAATAGTGAATATTTATTCATCTATCTAGATTTATTGGCTAAGGTTGTGTAAATGGTCGGGCTTGCCTAGCAATGTGTTGGGCGCCATCACGACCGGGGTTTGGGTCGTGACAATAACATCATTCGAACTTGTACCAATTCTTAAAACCACCTAAAACAACGCCGGAAACTCGAATTAATCAATGATTTGAGCCTGAGAACTTTAAATTTCATCAAAACACGCTTTCGATCAAAAACCTAACCAACACATGTCCAATTGACCTGAAGTTTTGCACACACATCCCAAACGACATGACGGAGCTACTGCAACTTCCGAAATTCCATTCCGACCCTCGGATCAAAAACTCACTATCGGATCGGAAACTTCAAAAATTCAAACTTCGGCATTTCAAGCCTAAATGAGCTACGGTCTTCCAAAATGCATTCCGAACACGCTCCTAACCTCAAAATCACCTAACGGAGCTAACGGAACCATCGAATTTCTGTTCCGAGGTCGTCTTGACACTGTTCCGACTACGGACCATTTTTCAACACTTAAGCTCTCATTTAGGGACTAAGTGTTCCAAAACTCTCCGAAGCCCAACACCGACCGTCCCGGCAAACTAAAATAGCAGAAATGAACTTAGGGGAAGCAGTTAATAGGGGATCGGGGCATTAATTCTTAAGACGACCGGCCGGGTCGTCACAATATACTATTCTGGTATACAGTTTGTTCCTACCGTACACTATTATTGTATACTATATAATATAATAGTATACTATTACAATGGTCCTTTTCAAATTTTTTGAAATTTTTATTGAATTCTTTTTCAACTTTTCAACATAGTTCATTTTTTTTTTGAATTATTTTCTTGAACCAAAATATTTAGTTTGAAATATTTGATTGGAGGTAGTGGCTACGGTTTGAATTAATTTGGTTAAAATTCTGAAGTAAATTTTTGAAATTGAGCTGAACTAGCGAATATGACTAATTACTATATACGAAAATAACATACTATATACTACTTTGGTATATAATATTTAATTCATTAGTGTATAATTTATTTCGTTCAACTGGAAAAGAAGAATTTGTACTATATACCAAAATGGTATACTATTTACCATTTTAGCATACAGTTCATTCCAACGCTATACTATTATAACATACTATATAATATAATAGTATACTATTATAATTTGGTTCTTTTATAATTTTTTTATAATTTTCATTGAGTTATATTTTAACTTTTCAATGGAGTTCTCATATTTTTTTAATTTTTTTAAATAAAAATATTTAGTTAATATATTTGATTGGAGATTGTGGTTGAAGTTTGAGTCAATTTGGGAAAAATTCTGGAGTAAATTTTTGAAATTTAGGTTGAAATTGAGTTGAAATAGCGAAGAAGACTAATCTGTACTATATACCATTTTGTTATATAATATTTAATTCAATAGTCTATTATTTATTGCAATAGTATACTATTACAGCATGTGGTATAATATTTTAAAAATTCAACGTGTCCTTTTTTAATTTTCTAACAGAGTTCCCGATATCATATACCCATTCAGTATCTAATATATAGCATGTGAGTATCATAGTATACTACAATAATGTACTTCAACTGTTACAAATATATTATTTTTGATATATTTTATGCAAAAGTAAGTTTTATATATATATATATATATATATATATATATATATATATATATATATATATATATATATATATATATATATATATATATATATATATATATATATATANAAAAAAGAGCAAAAAAGTCAATAATTATGAAGAGAAAAAGAAATTTAAAAAAATGAGTCAAATAAAATTCGAAAAGGAACAACAAATAATGAAAAAAATTAAAAAATAAAGAGTAGCCAAATTTAAGTTTGAAATTAAATTATAGTAGTAGTAGTAATAATAATAATAATAATAATAATATTTGGACAAAAAATAAATGAACAATAAAGAAGAAAAAAAAAGAAAAGAGAAGATGAGAAAAAAGAAAAGGAGAAACGAAAGAAAAGAAGGAAAAAGAAAAGAAGCCTAGAAATAAAAAAGAAAAGGAGAAAAAAGATGAAATCACCTACAAAAGCTACCATGGGTATGAAATGTAATGAGTTTAATGGCTAAAAAAATAAATAGGTAAGCAAGGATAAATAGTTTTATTTTTGTGGATAATTGAATCATTCACCCTTTTTGGAACTCCATCTTTGTTTCATCAAAAATTTTGTCCCATTATTTTTCGCACACTTTAAATCTTTGATTTGTCCTCTATATAATTTTAAATCTATACATAAATTTACATGCATAACATTCCTTGATATAGCAGGTGTATATATATTTGATTGAGTTTTCTTAACATTAAAATTTTATAGTTCTATGACTAACTATATAGTCAAACTACTCCATTGTTATTTTCACTTGCAGCTTGTTTAGATGGTTGTTATGTATCGTTTCATAATGTATTGTATCGTATTGTATTATATTGTATCGTTTGATGTATATAATGTTTGGATATATTGTATTATTTGTCGTCATTTCATGATGTCATGCACCAACAATATGAAGAATAAATTTGTAATCTTATAAATGAAAAGTTAGTTACGAAGTAGAATTATTATATAAAAAAGTAAGGTAAATGATAAAATATAATTATTTAATAATAAGAAAGGGCAAGGGAGGAACGTAATGACGCGACCACACCAAATCGATCGTTACATAAAGTGACACTGTTCTTCGTTATGTAACGACGAATTTAACAAGACTATGCGATAAAATTTAAATAATAATCAAAACAAACATTGTATTTAAAATAACAATACAATACGATATAATAGGTAACAACCATCCAAACAAGCGGTTACACAATTAAAGTCAAATTACAAGCAACCTTTTGAATGTTCATACAATATCACTTTCCTTTTTCTTTTCAATATAGGAATTAGGCTCACCAAGAGCCCAATCCTAATATATTTAGGAAAGATATAGAAATTTGAATTATAAATAGGAATCAGACTTTCCTTTCCTTTCCAGGAATAAAAATTACGGTTAAACACTATATAATCCGTAACATGCTTGAGGAATAATCAAGCAATTTATTCCAACATCATTCTTTTCTCAATAGGAATTTTAGAGATGGATCTGGAATATGAGAAGCAGAAAACTATAATCCATGAAACTAAGGAAGCAGTTGAGAAGATCGTAAATATGCGGTTGAGTAATGTTCCAACACAATCTCGAGAGTTCAAGTTTATTAAGTACAAACCTAATTCCAAGCAATCTGCCGCAGCTTTTAAGGAGAGGATTATTAAGATGGTGGAGATGGCCGTGGATCCAGTGGAGCCGCCCAAATTCAAGCACAAGAAGATCCCTAGAGCCGCCTCTGGTTCACCACCTGTGCCCGTTATGCATTCTCCTCCACGTCCTGTTACCGTGAAAGATCAACAGGATTGGAAGATTCCGCCTTGTATATCAAACTGGAAGAATCCCAAAGGTTACACAATCCCACTTGATAAGCGTCTTGTTGCTGTTAATGAGGCCGTAAAGATCAATGATAATTTCGCAAAAATATCAGAGGCTCTATATGTTGCAGAAGAGAAAGCCAGACAAGCCGCTGCAATGCGGGAAAAGATTCAGAGAGAGATGATAATGAAAGAGGAGGAAAGAAAAGAGATGCAACTTCAGGAGTTGGCTCGCAAGGCAAGAACTGACAGAACTACTGTTGTGGATTATGATAGTGCAACAGAAGAAGCGCGATTAAAGAGAAAGAAAATATGTGAGGAGAGACGTCGGGAGAGGAGATTCGAGGCAAAAGATGCTAAAAAGAGTAAGATAAGCAGAGATAGAGACGGTGAGGTTAGCGAAAAAGTGGCTCTTGGGATGGCTTCTAGTACTAGAAAATCAAGAGGAGAGGAAGTTATGTATGACCAGAGATTGTTCAACCAGGAAAAAGGGATGGATTCTGGATTTGGATTTGCCAATGATGATGCCTACAATGTATATGATAAAGGCTTATTTACTACTCAGCCTACTCTTTCTACTCTATACAAACCCAAGAAAGACAATGTTGATTCCGATATGTATGGAGTTGCTGATGAGCAAATCGTCAACACACATCGGTTTAAGCCTGACAAGGCATTTGCTGGAACATATGAGAGGGCTGGTCCAAGTGTGGAATTTGACAAGGAAGCTGATCCATTTGGTTTGGACCAGTTCTTTAATGAAACCATGGCAAATATTGGGGTAGTGGAGGAACCATGAAGACCAGTCAAGGTTTGCTAAATTTGAATATTTGATCAATTTTGGACACAACATAAACTTTTGTGGTTCTTTCCTTTCTTTGGTTGTACTAGTATTTTGTGTTACTAATCTTGGTTAACATTTAAACATCAAAACCTTCAAGTATTTTTCATATCAGGACATATAGCTAGACGTAGTCTCTGCATCAGATATTACAGATGCTCAGTGAGGTGTAGTAAGGTCATATGCGGCGCTGCCTTTTTGTTATCAAGAACTGAAGCGCAACGGTATTTATGTAACTAGAGGCTTTTCCATGGAATTTCTGGAATCATGGCTACAACTTTTCATGTCAGTAGAAGTTAGCTTAGCTTTCAAATTCTCAAAACATAGCTACAGCTTTTGCTGTCAATAGAAGTTAGCTTTAATGCAGTTGTCAAGAATTACCTGCAGCAAGATCATCTTCTTTTTTGTCTCTGCTGATTTTTCCAAATCCTCTATTATGCATCCATGTATAAGATTTAGATGCAGGAGAACTCTTACATTCTTAAGCTAAGTTAGAAAGAATTATTGATGTTTTATCTTGCCTGATATCTCACCTCTATCATTATGGTTTTTATTTATTTATTTCCATATCGAAGATTTAGATATATAATGTTATGAACGTAGTTAATATTTGTGCGGGCATGGATGGAAACTTATTTGTGGGACCAGGTTAGGAACATGTGAGGTATGTGGAATTAGCAGTACCTTAGGCAAAAAATAGGTAAAACATCAATAATCTCTATTGGAATTAGCAGTACCTTAGGCAAAAAATAGGTAAAACATCAATAATCTCTATTGGAATTAGCAGTACCTTAGGCAAAAAATAGGTAAAACATCAATAATCTCTGGTTCTCTCCTATCTTACTTAGCTTCTTCATTTTGCATTTCCATTAGTGTTGTTCTACTTCTTTGAGTTGTAATCGTTAGTTACTACCATCAATATAATCTGTATTTTGGAATAGTTACATCGAAGAACTTTGACATTATTTAATTTCAATAGGAATTGGTTTATTCATGCTTTCAAATTAAAGCTTCATCCCGAATGACTTATACATGGCATAAATAGGGCTGCTTTTAATACCAACTTGGCAATGTAAGAGCTTTAGAATGCTTGCTGGTGACGCTCGGATTACCCCAGATGTGTTACTTTTGGCTGAGGTAGAGTTTCTCTTTCTTTCCCCTTCCCCTTGTTCTGCATTTCTAGAATAAACTGAACTCTTTTACTTGTGTGAGAGAGTAATGGCCTGTTTGAATTGTCATTACCCATGGTTTTATAATGTACAATATCGTATTGTACATTACAACAACAATAACATACCCGGTAATATTCTACATTGTGGGGTTTGGGGAGGTAGTGTGTACGCAGACCTTACCCCTACCTTGTGAGGATAGAGAGGCTGTTTCCAATAGATCCTCGGCTCAGGAAAGCATAAGCACCATATTGATGAAAATATAGACAAGAAGGGACAGTACCAAAAAGCCATATAAAAGCAGAATAAAAACAACAAGGCAATAAGGTGATCAGCAATGAAAGGAAACAACGGTTAGTCATAAAAACCTACTACCAACAGAAAGCGAGACTGCGTGCCAATACCACTATTGTATAGTATCGTATTTATTGTATAGTAATGTATTAATGAATACAGTGTTTTGGTAGACTGTATCGTTTGTTGTTATTTAATACTTAACAAATTTTATGAGTCACCATGCAAAAAACATCAAATCCGTGGTTACAAAAATTGAGCTTTTTCATGGTTATATAACAACGGAGTTACAACGAGTTTACAACATCATACAATATAATTTTAAGAACAATGGAAACAAACATGGTATACAGAAAGGTTTGGAGTTTAATATGGATCATTACTTCTTTCTGGTTTTTTCCAGGTTGCCAGAGCTATTATTGAATCCTAAGGACAAGGCAAAGGCGCACCTAACATATCCTAAGTGGCAGTCGGTTTTAATGCCTATTCATGGGTTCTTGACCTTAAATGTTGTACACAATCATATGTTTAAAAGACCTTTCCACTATATTATAACGAAAGTCGTAAAAAAAGTAGCCACGGGCAAAGAAATCAGGATTGGACAAGAATAAATTTGCAATTTGCTAAACTCAACAATCATCTTGTTGTAAATTGGCAATACACAGTCTAATCGTCTGGTTCTAAACATTATATGGAAAACTCTAACCACTCAGGCACTCATGACTCTCACCAATGTACCATGGGTCACAAAAGAGAAACTAAAAGCACAAATGAAGGCATTTATTACTTCTCTGGAAGCAAATTTGTGAACAAGAAATAGAGAATAACGTATCATGTAATTGACACTTTAACCATTGTTAAGTGATATGCATTTTCACTTTGATTTGTTGATTCTTAAGATTAATTATTTAGTTAAAACACCCGATCACGTCACTGGTTACTTCATTACTGTATCCAGATAAGTTAGTTCATGTCCTACTCTAATCTACAAGTGCAATATTATTGGTTACTTCATCGGTGAAATATGCTTGAACGGCGAGACCATCAACTTTTAAGGCTTCAATTCCAAATAACTATTCAACTTTTTATACTTTATTGTGATAAGCATTTCTATCAAATTACTTAAACCTTTTCACCAACCTTTAATATTTTTGCTTATTATTAGTAATGTAATACATATATAAAGATTATTATCTTTAATTATATTTTACTTAGTATTATGTAAAACAAGACAAATAAATAGTCCATCTATCCCAATTTGTGTGGTATCGTTTGAATTTCGATAGTCAGATGAGTTTTCCATTGATTGTGATCTTTTCATATGTCTTTTGAGAATTCAGACTTATTAATAATTGTGACTTATAGTACTTTTTTACGTAGTTTTTAAGTATATAATTTTTTTTCTTAAAAAAAATCTTAAAGATTATATGTCTAAATTTACGGTTAAAATTAAGGAGTTTGATGGAGTAATAATTTATATAAATAACTACTCCTATATGTCTCTATCTTCACTGAAGGGAAGTCTTAGCCGTAACCGGTAAAGTTACTGCCATGTGAATAGGAGGCCACGGGTAGAGCCATGTGTTAGACCCCATGTTTTTCGTACGTGAGAGTACGGCGTAAGTCAACTGATGTAAGCTTAGAAATGAGATCATGTTTGAAAGTTTATAAAGTAAGTTAACCAAGTTACCATGGGAGTTACAAATATTTAAGATCATGGATAATAAGTGTCGCGCCCCGTTTTCTCTCGAAAGTGGGTTTCGACGTTGTGACAACTCTTTTGGATGGGAGATAGAGTGTTAAAAGAAGAAGAGCCGTCACCTAACGATTTTTGAGGTGCATTAGGGCACCTATTATGCAAATAACTCTGTTTGACTAGTCAACGCCACCAAAGATCGGGCAAGGGCTCAAATTACCTCAAAGAGAAGGTGTTAGGCACTCTTCGAGGTCCATAACTATGGCTCCTGGCCGAACTTAAGACTATGTGGATTATAATTAGGCAAGATAAACAAAGAGAGTAAGGGTCAAAGAAACTTATTATAACACAAATAAGGATTGCAAGGATATAACTATAACGGTCTATATTAGATGACTAAATGTATAAAGAAGAGAGGGGGCGGGGGGGGGGGGGGAACCTAAGTTTCTTAGCCTAAAGGATCACCCCGTGCAACATAAATAACACTTCGCAACTCCCTTAAAGTAGGGAATTACTCATATTATTCAGCGGGCACAGACTATCATCTCCTGCTACCCGATTACTATGTTAAAGTTGTTTACCTAAATGCGCTCTAGTTCAATTCTAAGTCGTACCCTATGCGTGCACTACCCGTCCCATGCATATAGTCCAGGAGGCATTGGACCTCTATTTCGGTGGTTCGAGACTTTACCTAGGCCGCTCAAAATGATAAAACTAGACAACATACAAAACAAGTTGGACTTTATGTAAGGGCAGTTAAGTGCTCAAGTTAGCCTCCACACTAGACAACAAATGCACGCAAAACATGTTCTCACATTAGGCGTTAGACTGTTTCAAAACTTAGACAAATTAAAGTCCTTAAGCCCTATAGACATGCTTTCTGTGTGACCTAGGATTTAAACGTGCAGGCAGTTTCAGATGCAAGACGCTACTTTAAACTTATAGACATGATTTCCAAACAACTATATAGTTTAGGAGTATTGCATACTAATTATTGAGATTAAGTTTTTAAACCTGTAGACATGATCTCTAAGTGATTTACGCAGTAGGGGGCAGTGAAGACCGTTGAAAATACTCAGAATTACTCATGCTTTCTAATAGTGGCATGGCTAAGCAACAAAACAACGTTTGAAAAGTTCAGCATTAACACTTTAGAGCGAGTAGCAATACCCTATAGGCAGGATTTCTAACGATTGGCGATTGGAACTAATTTCTTTATACTCAGCCCCTATAGACATATTTTCTAGGTGAATAGTATGATAACAATAGCAAATTAACCAATTAAAATCCTATAGGCATGGTTTCTAGTGAATATGCTGCAGTTATGCAAATTGAAAGAATGGTTATTGATATTTCTTTCTACAGGCATGCTATCTAGTAGTAGACATAGGAATAAATAAAGTACTTATGCTTCGATAGTAGACAAGTTGCCTGAGTGTGTGATTCTCCTAATGGCATGATTTCTACCGGTGCACAAATTGAATGGCATATATAGCAAGTTCGAAGTTGATACCATTTCAGACTTCTAAGATTTTGAGGGATTCATGTCAACCTAGAATAACGAAAAAGAGATTAGTAATAAATATCTATTTCAATTTCATCATATATGAACATGTGAAGGTATGGGAAAGAAGCTAGAAAGTTAGATGACAATAGACAACAGTAATGAATAAAATTGACAGAAACATAACACATGAAAACTTAGAGATAACAAATATTTAGCGAGTCAATTTCATGAGATATGAGCATACAATCAGCTACGAAGAAATCTACTGGTGGAGTTTTAGAAACTTTTTTCCTTTCCTACCACTTAACTTGTAAATAAAATGGTTTCCGGTATGAAATTTTCATTATAACAAAGGAGTTGACAAATTAAAAGCAGGTGTGATAGAACTCCAAACCTTCATGAGTTCTTTTCTTTTTCAGTTGTGAAGAATTATCTAACTCCTCTAAGTCATCAATATTCTTTAAAATCTCTATTTCAACAACTTCTCTCTATAAAATACACAACTTATATGGTACAAGATCATCGCCAGACAATATAGAGCACCTAAATGTAGCAACATAAAAAATATTTAAAATCTATAGTCAACCCACAACTATTTTGGAAGTTTTGTTTATAAGAAATTCTCCAATTTAGCACAATCTAGTAAGAAGTAACAACTGCTCTGTATACCAATATGCTCTGTTTCAAAGTCAAACTTGTTCCCTAAAACAATCTGTTCTCCGAACTAATTGATCAGTTATGCTATTAAAAAGAATCTCCTTTCTTTGAAAATCAAACTCACTCCCCAAATATAATCTTCTCTATAAGATGAATACACATATTTGACATATAAGATAAATGCGAACAAAATTTAATGAAACAAAAAAAAACTTTTATAAGCAATACTCTTAAAATTTGGATGTAATTATATATTGAAAATATGTAATTATTACAAAATTTACCACTTTCTTGTTAGATTAATATAATTTTGGTCAATACCCTTCAGCTATATCTAGAGATTTGTGTTAGTATTTTGCATTCTCTATTTGTGCAAACTTATTAGTAATTGGAATTAAAATTTTGATGGACAAATTTCCTCTCTTTTCCATGTATCCCATGTCATTAATTGATATTCGTTCTTTCTTTCTTTAGGTTCCCCCACACAACCCTAAACCCCCCACTCCCTCTTCCTTTTTATTGTGTGGTCCTTCCTCTCTCTATCCAATATTTGATAAACAGATACATAGAAAAGCATATAGGTTGAATCGAAAGTTTAGAGCTTACCTTGACAAGAAGGAGAACAAAATCCTAGGTTGCAGAGAAGAATCAAACTTTTGCAGATTTTCAGTCGCAACTTGTGCTGGTATTCTTGTAACTGCAAGTTCTCTGTTGTCTACTGATAAAACAGAGAAGTGTTTATTTAGGAGGGGTGGAGACGACAGTTGAGGGGATGCGTGGGCTGATTGTGGGTTGGGTATGTGGCGCCTATTTATTTGTCTTATTGCTTATAATCTATTTTAACGTCTGGATTATTTTATTTTTAAGGACTGAAAATCATCCCTTCGTAAATATTAAACAAAAAATACACTTTAACGACTGGTCGTTATAGATGCACTTTTAATGACAGGATTCATGTCCCTTCGTTAAAATTTTATCGTTAAAAGTCAATATTCTTGTGGTGTCCTCAGGCCATGGCATGGTGTCCTTCGGCTATGAGGATAATGCCTTCGGACTATGACGCCTTTGGACAAGACGGCGATGTTTCAGCCCATGAAATGCAAAGATATGACGCTTGGTCACATGCCTAGATGAGACTAGACAAGGATAGTCTTGTGTTAGATGAGGGCAGTGCTTATCCCCAGGTGAACAGAGTGATAGTGCTAGGTTTTAGGTAGTGTAGTGGAGATAGTATTCAATCTTATACAAGGAAAAGGCAATGCTTAGCCTTATGCCAAAGGGGAGACAATTCTTAGTCTCGTGCGGGAAAGGCAGTGCTTAGCCTTATGCAATTAGGGAGACAGTGCTTATCCTCATGCAAGAAGAAGAGACAATGCTTAGTCTCATGCAAAGAAGGGAGACAATTCTTAGTCTCATGCAAATAAGGGAGAAAATGCTTAGTCTCATGCAGGGAAAGGCAATGTTTACCCTTATGCAATTAGGGAGGCAATGCTTAGACTCATGCAAGAAGAGGAGATAATGCTTAGTCTCATGCAGGGAAAGGCAATGTTTAGCCTTATGCAATTAGGGAGGCAATGTTTAGCCTTATGCAAGAAGAGGAGATAATGCTTAGTCTCATGCAAAGAGGGGAGACAATGCTTAGTCTCATGCAAAGAAGGGAGGCAATGCTTAGCCTCATGTAAGAAGAGGAGACAATGCTTAGTCTCATGCAAAAAAGGGAGACAATGCTTAGTCTCATGCAAATGAGGGAGGCAATGCTTAGCCTCATGCAAGAAGAGGAGACAATGCTTAGTCTCATGCAAAGAAGGGAGGCAATGCTTGATCTAACCTTTTTGTTGAAAGCTCTTGCTATTCTGTTATGGCAGAGTTGACCGTGACATACCGCATTCATTCTCTTTCCATCAATGAGGACTAGTTGCTCGTAACGACTCTGTACCCATTCTGCGTCGCTGGGCTCAGCTTCTTGTATGATTCTTAG